ACCAACACCAGCATCTCACACACACACAGTTACACACAAAAACTCACACTTACACACACACACACAGAGTCCCTAGACAGCCTGTCTGTAATCGAACTCTGGAGAGGCTCAGCGGTAACCACATCTATAGCGCACCCTGGAGAGAGATGCTGGGCGAGTGAAAAGAAAGGCAAAGTAGGACAGGAGCGCGGAGAGAAGGAGCGCGTGTGGGAGGGAGAGTGGAGGTGGTTCTCTTGTCTTAAGGTTGCCCTCGGAAAGCATTTATCTTCCAGGGGAGATGCAGAGAGGAAGTGAACAACTGATTGGATGGCGCTGGCTGAGGAGGAGTATTTTAATATGCTATCCTTCGTTTTAGTGCCCACACATGAAAGTATAAATAGCCTGCACACGTACGTATGCATAGGCCGCTGGTAGGTGTGGGGTGTTGTGTGAGAAAGAAGGGGTGGGGGGGTGACAGAGGAAGATGAGAGGCCGCTGAATGATTAAATGTCCTCGGCAACACGATGCAAATGATCCTTATTTGTACAATCGAAGCAGCTCAGTGATGTGTGTGAATACTCTGAGCCAAGACTGACTCAGAAAACCATAAAACTCAAGACAGTTTTTTGCACATTTAACTGTGAGGCCAACTTTTTCTACTTCGAGTATGATACCGATACCTTCACTACAGCAGTCTGCTGGCGATGACCTGATACCAGCGCTGAATCAATAAACTGTGTTCATATCTGTGAGGAAAATACTGGGAATAATTCTTGATCTGTAACACAACGTCAGGCTACTTTCTTTTCCTAACAAGTAAATACATATGCATATAACAACAGGCCCAAAACAAACACATTAAACAATAAAAAAAATTGCATTCATCTAATTTACTCACACTAGTCTCTTTTCAGCTCAGTGTAGGAGTCATTAAGCTCCTGCTTGCTGTTTTTCCTGCTCCTGCACACATCGCACGTGGACCTGACAAGAGACAACCAAAGTTAAATAATAATTTGAACATGCCGGGATGTTAGGTTATCATAAATGCACTGAAAGGTTCCCAGCAGGTGTTACACTGGACCAGCCTGCTTGTAGTTTCTGCTTTGTGTAATGTGTCTCTGACCGAACATAACCGGCGAAAGTGAACGAGCGAGAAAGAGAAACAAAAACAATGTCGCGTCAGCGCTTCTCAGTCATGTCGACTCACTTGACTCACAGTTTGCAGTTAAGTTAAATGGTTTATAAACAAACAAAGACAAGCTGTTGACATAGCGAGCGTGGAAAACGCTCCAAACTGCCAACCCTTTGCTGTTAACTTCCTACGAGCTCTGCTGCTACCTGCTGCTGACCTGTGGACGGTATACACAGGAAAACACTGAATAGATTGGCACGTTGTCGCTGATCCAGCTCTTTAACATCAGACTGTTGCATCATTAAGATTACATGTTGCTCATGTACTTGTGACTAGAGTTATTGTAGCATTATGTTTTCTTTTAGTTTCATATTTTTTTTCACAAACAAAATCAGCTGCAGCAGATTTATATAACAAAACAAAATTCAGGTACTATTATAATTTTCCAGTATGTTTATAAATGAACCAGATAACAATATAAATTTATAAGTTCCTCTTTTTTCCTCATCCCCTTAATTTTCCTGCTTTGATTAGTTGCTCATACCGAGGCTCACGGCTGGTAGCTCACTCTGAGCGCTGGTTAGCTTTAGCCACCTTTGTTAGCTTCTTTAAAACGATTAAGTGTCTCACTAGGTTTGCTGTTGTACACATTTTCACACCGTTTACTTACCTGTGCCGGTGTGTGTGTGTTCCACATGCACGAAATTGGCCAACTCACAATCAGTCATATGGAAGGCTGACCGGCTGGTCACTGGTCATGGTGGAAAACACTGGAAATTGGCTGATTAAGTCATGTGGACATCAGTAAACATAGCACACAAAATCCCTCTAGTGCCTGCTGTGTTGACAACATTGAAAAAGACTTAAACTAAAGAGCTAAAGACATTTTCTATAATTGTTTTAAACTAGTTATATGGAAAGGACTGGTCTTTGTATAGTAAGTTTCTAGTCTGATCATAATGATCACGCCATGACATCACAAGAACTGTTTGCCTTTTCCCACATTTTCACACGACGTTTTATTCTCAGCACTTAAGAGCCTTATCTAGCTTCCATCCACACCTATGGCCATTTCAAAATCACCAGTTAACCTAACATGCATGTCTTAGGACTGTGGGAGGAAGTAGGTGAGAGAACCCACACAGGCTGTGAGGCGACAGTCCAAATCAGTGCTCTGCAGCGCATCGCTGTTTGCTAACCATCATAACCTTGACTGTTTTTCTTTCCTCTGCAGCTTCAGGAACCAACGAGAATGAGGAGCGCGTGTTTCGCGAGAGGATCGGCCCTCGCCGGCGACAGGGCGCCGTCCGTAGGCGCGTCCATCAAGTCAATGGACACAAGTTCATGGCCACCTATCTTAGACAGCCGACCTACTGCTCACACTGCAGAGATTTCATCTGGTGGGTGAAACATCTATCGCATGTATCTGACCCCTTTTGCTTGCTGTGATGCCGCTGAAATGTTGACTCCTCTGTGTGTGATCTGATAGGGGCGTGCTGGGGAAGCAGGGATACCAGTGTCAGGGTGAGTACTTTTCTCCGGCAGACTCCAATTTCTGAAGTAACATTGCGCATCATTTATTATTCAAGCATGAGAACACAAGAGGGATTACATGTTGCTGAGTGACAGCTGTGATTTGGTCCCACGCCATCACCCCAGAGCCACGCATTTACAGCGTTACACGAGCAGAAAACAAAATGAAGCATAATAGTATTAAAAATTACATGCACAGGCTTTTTTTTTCTTCTCTGTGCTTGCAAATATCCTAAAAATTCAGCTTGAACTCGTAGTGTTATTTAACAGACTCTTTAGGGTACTTCATTACTTCACTTCATAATGCAGCCTGTGGAGGTGCGGGTGGAAGATGTTATGCAGCTTAGCGGTGGAAAAGGTGAAGGTGGAGTGGTTGAAACTGTGCAGCCAGCAAAAGTTGTGCCTCTCTTACCTTTGCTTTAATGCGAATGCAGTTTATCTGCTGTTAACCTCACATTTGTGGCAACTTTAAAGAGTTTTAAAAATCCTCAGAGTCTGTGAGTACTCTTCCTGCCAGGCTTATACATTAAACATTAAATACTTGTGTATATTTTCAGCATTTCGCATCATTTTAACCCAGTTTTATTTTAAAACTCGAATGATATTCACCATATTCGTATTACTTATACTGTCGGTCGTTCAACCAATGAGAATTTGGTCAGATGGGAGCAACTAACAGTCAAAACATTACTTAACTGAGTCATTAATGAAGAATGAAGAATGAGTTCAACAGTTCAGCCCGTCCATCTGGAGTCTGCAACCCTACCGAGGCCTGTGCTGAAGTAATTTGGCCTTTGATAAATAAGCCTTAAATCCATTCATCTGGTACGCCAACTGGACTTCCTGGATCATATTTTATTGTCTCACCTGTAGTTTAAACAGCATGCCTCTATCAACACAGCTGTCTGTGGTTAAACGCGGTGCATTTCTTTTTTCCCCTGGTTTAAATATGCAACCATAATAAAGATGTTTTGATAACAGAATGGTGTTTAGGTGTCAAAATGATTCTCTGCGCTGCAGGTGGTTGAGCTATGCAGTTTTCATTGATGCATATGGGCTCGAATTTCACTCGAACCGAAGCATATTTTTTATGTTTCATGTGGGTTGTTTTTGTTTTGTTTTGTGACACTACAACAGTACACCTGAGTGCATCCTGTAAAGATAGAGGAAGGGAACGGAAGCTGCTCATGTGCTCCTGTTGACGTGTTGCTTATACTGCACAGTCTGTGTAGACTAATCGTTGCTTGTGAATATGAAAGTAATGGATATTAACAAAGAAATTCTGTTTTTTGCTGAATTATCCATTGTTAATGTCTCCTAGTGAGTTGTGCTGCCTATGAAAATTCTTCCGTTTGTGCTTTTTATTCATTTAACCTTCATTCATTCATTTAACCCAGAAAATGTAACTCCCACGATTAAAATCCCTTACGGCTAAGTTAGGAAGCAGCTCAGTCAGCAGGCTAATAGTACCTGCACAGATATGGATAGATAGATATACACAAGTTAAGGAATATATTGTTAAATAACCATTATTCAGCTACTCTTCGAAGTCTTTTTCGTGTTAGATTTGTAGGCCTAATTAGGTCTTTCTCATTAATGAAGAGCCGTGCAGAGGATGTGTGGCTGTCAGTGGTAATGCTCACTCACCCACATTCTGTTGTAGACTGTAATTATTTGTAATTTTAGTTAGTTAGCCTTTTCATATTGATATTCAGAGCGGGTCAACCAGATCTTTCAGGATTGGTCGGCAGTGGCACGAAGAAGTGTGCGGCTGCATTGCAGTGCTTTGTTGAACTACACTTGCCTCCCAGTTCATACTTAATTTTGTGTAAATATGATCTGAGATATGATAAGAACAGATAAGGCTTTCTTATAGCTTGCTGTTTGTTTGCAGCTGGAAAAATCAGATTAGCACACTTTGAGATGAAGCTGATGTCCCTCTGCCTCTCACACATCTGTTGTTCAAAACGAAAATATGTTTATTTGACTAAGGTTGTGTGTGAATGCCTTTTAGTGTGCACGTGTGTTGTCCACAAACGCTGCCATGAGCTGATCATCACCAAGTGTGCCGGCATGAAGAAGCAGGAAGACACACCTGAGGAGGTACACACGTCTGCAAACACTCAGCTGCACGGAGACTTTGCAGGAATGAGAGGATTTTTAGTGGACCTCGGTTCATTATTTGCTAACTAAAGGCTCAACTGAAGTTTATTAATTGTTTTTTATTCAGAAATCATAACTTAGACAGTGAGAAGAGCACATATAAAGATATACCAAGTAGTCTTGTGGCCCTTATGCATAGAAAGCGGTGTGCACTGTGGCTAATTGAACTTTGTGCGCTGCCTGTGCTGTTGTTTCCAGGAAAATTAAACAGGTTTAAATGGTTATGTTAGCATTGTTCCATAATTTAACCCCAACAATAGAAATACAAATGATCTTTTAATACTTTTGCTACAGTGAGAATACACATACGCCAAAACTCACTTTGATTTGACTTTATTAGCATTATTTTACCTCTTTTTCAATTAAACTTGATTGTATTGTTATTTTAAATGCTGATCCTCACAGTTTCAGAGAGTAGGAATCATGAAAGAAATACTGAATATGGACAGAGACGCTCAACATTCAGGCCACTGATGAATAAATCTGTTGCTTAAAGCAATGTGTGTCAGAACGCTCCTCTGATAATGCCACCCTGACCTCTCGTTAATACCCCCGTGTGTGTGTCTGTGTGTTCTTCTGTGTGTGTCTCCCTCTGCAGGTGGGCTCACAGCGGTTCAGTGTTAATATGCCCCATAAGTTCAGTATCCACAACTACAAGGTCCCCACTTTCTGTGACCACTGCGGCTCCCTGCTGTGGGGCCTCATGAGGCAGGGCCTGCAGTGCAAAGGTGAGTTTATGAGCAGTGGGGAATTCACATGAGAGCCCACGGGGAAAGATCATGGCAGCCCAGGTGCTCATATTTGCATGTTGAAGCCACATGATGTAAACAGGGATGCCACGAGGAACAGTGTTTTCATTACATCTGTTAAAACATGATAACAAATGAAAAATGATTGCTTTTCCCCCATGATTAATTACATTTCTGGTAAAAATAGTGTTAGGCTTTTGCTATAGACTCTACATACTCACATAGAATTTCTTTTTAATCTAATTTTCAGAAGTATCCCCAAGTAAAGTCCACCACTTGCACTTGTTTTTTGTCATGCAAAAATGGCTTCCTTAGTCTGAACTCGTGTTTTAGTGACTATACTAAATGTATTTTAAAGAATATACATTTTTAGTTTGCACACTCATTTCTGGATTTTTAAAGTAAAATGCCTTTAATGAGCACTTAGGTTGTAGTAGCAGGAGACATGGTTTATGTGTTTAAATTTCACATTTTCTTTCTTTCTTTTTTTTACAGTGTGTAAGATGAATGTGCACAGGCGGTGCGAGACCAATGTAGCTCCTAACTGCGGCGTGGACGCCCGAGGAATCGCCAAGGTCCTGTCTGACCTGGGAGTCACACCTGACAAGATCTCCAACACTGCGCAGCGCAGGAGGAAGGTAACAAGCCGCCCGTGTCAGGTCTTTACTAGATTTTCTCTTAAGGACGTGACTTCTAAATACTGCTCGTCTGCTGCATTTTCTTTAGGCCTACCACATAAGTTGTCCTCCACTTGTCCAGTTTCCACAAAACTCCCCTTGTTAATGCAAGAGAAATAGGAAGATAATATGGGAAAAGACTTGTTTCAGTCCTTATAGAGAGAAATACCGTTGTCATGTATGTACAGGTGGTGAGCTCGAGTTCTACCCGAGGAAATAAACTCCAGCACCTCAGATGTGCACAGAAAATGCATTTTGGACTTTTCCCAGGCTTCCCTGAGGCCGGCAGGTTAACCTGTGGAGTCACACGTATAATGTGCTAATTAAGGAGCTTCATTAATTAAGGAGCTTACTGGTTCCTTCTTTTTTTCCAGTGTTTGTGGGAAGCTCAGCTAAGCTAACTGTCTGTTTTTCATCATTGTGTGGTGCACATCTTTGCATTTTACTCCTAAGGCGTCTCAAAGGGTGTCCATCTATTTTTCCAACTACGCATTTCTAACTGAATGTGTTTCTGTTACTGTTGGATGAAAAGCACAAGCTGTTTTCAGACTCTGGAGTATCAGTTCGGGACGTTGTTCAAAGATGTCCTCACTCACACGCGGCACACAACGGCAGGAGTCGGTTTCAGATGGGTTCTCACTCCTGTAAATACTCCGCGTGGTTTGGGTTAGGGAGCGCACACAGGAGGCAGGACACATGACGCCCACTCGCTCGCTGTGAATTCACCGAGCTATTACCTGCTTTATTCTTACACTGGGTCAATCAGACATCACACAGACTTTGTGTGGGAGCGACTGCGTTGCGCATTTGTATTCTCACGTGCTCCCGTGTTTAGTAATGCCTTTAAAAGTTCAGGCCTGCGTTGGACGTGTAAAAAGCAGCTTTAAAGCTCCAATTTTCAACTGAGAAACTTGGATTCACCTCCGTGACTCGTGATTCAGGAAACAGATTTTTAGAGGACAGCCCAAAGGCACGGCCATGTTGACTCTCTCTGTGTTTCTCTCTTTCTTCAGTTGACTCCAGGGCAGGACCCTCCCCAGTCTCCTCCTGAGCACTCTCAGACTGAGGAGAACAGCTTCAGCCAGCCAGCTGTCCCCACCTCCCCCTCACAACAGGGTAACACGACACACACACACACACACACACCAAAAAACCACATACGCAACATCAACAAAAAGACGTTTAAAAGCCCGCTTCGAGATGGGTACGGCGGGGGGCGGTTTAATGTGTTAATTCTACCAGTGAGGGGTAGTCATTCGATTTCAGCGATAATATTGTTGCTGTTTTTAAAAAATAAGTTAAATGTTATTGTTTTTTTCTTTCTCTCTTTTTTTTTTTCTAAAAACAAGCTAAAATTGAATTATCCCTCCACCGCCCACCACCATTTGGTTGTCACAGTTAGTCATCGCATTATCACACTTTGCAAGCTGAGAAATAAAAAAGTTAACTTTCTCTTTGTGGAAGTCGTCCCATTTTTTTTTTTTTTGTTCTCGTCGAGCCAAACGCCGATGACAACGGCGCCGCTCGCTGCTGTTATTTAATCGCCCTGGTCCGGGGAGTGAATCATTCCAGGTTTTAACAGAGGATGTTATCATGTTTTGTTTTGTTTTTTTCAAAGTTTATTGAAAAGCAATCAGTTACAAATGTGTAATGCTTCTAAACAGCTCTTATTTCCGTATAATTGAGTTGAATGCTGACAGGAAAAAAGAGAAAAGTCAGCCAGCCTGTTTTTGCTGATGTCTGATCTGCTTTTCCGATGACACCCACAGACTTGGCAGAGTTGGATCGCCTGCAGGACGCGCTGTCGCTCGACCAGCAGGGACCTCAGCACTCTTCCTCCTCTTCCTCCTCCACCACCTCCTCTTCCTCGTCCTCCTCGGCAGCCAGGCAGAACGGAGAGAGCCAGAGGAGGAGCCTGAAGGATTTCAACTTCATCAAGGTTCTCGGCAAAGGCAGCTTCGGCAAGGTGGGAGAGCTCGGAGGAGGCGTGCGAGGGGGATGTTTATTTGTTTGTTCCTCATTATGTTTATAATTAAACAGTTTTTTTTTAAATCAACAACCAGTTCACGGGGTTCCCATTATTCATAACAGCTGAATTATCAGGGGAAGTGAATAATATCAGGGGAGCAGAATAGACTGACGCTCATGTGCATTGCATTAGATTCAGGCACCTGCTTTTATTTATAATTTAAATGTATTGTTTTGTGTGCAGTTTAGATTTTTCTGCTTATTGTTTTCTATTTATGGGTTGCAGGATTAATTGGTACCATGTTGATACAATGTCCAGCAGCAGGTCACTGTAAAACCTTTGTATAGTTACTGCAGATTACCTGCCCAACACCAGATGGTAGGTTAGAGAATAGCTGGTAAATATATTGGGGCTCTGAGCAGATAAAGAGCCATTTGTTTCAATCACCAGCTGCTAGAGACCAAAAACAGATCATATAATATTGTTCCATTCATAATTTTATCACTGTAAACCCCCTCTTGCATTTTATAATACACCGACGAGCTAAAACATTATGACCACTCACTGGAGTGACTCATATTGATGATCTTACACCTATTGCAGTCTGTGATTGAACAGGATGAATCTGAGCAAAATTGACAAAGCCAGACGACCCAGTCTGAGTAACGAGCCAAGCCAGTTTCCCATTGTCTGGCGCAGTGGGAGGACTCTTACATTTCATTGGACCACCTTTAACTTTGTTGCATTGTTGCATCGTTTTGAAAAGCTTGTGCAATGTCACTTCATTTATTTTCATTCAGATATGCATCAGTTGTTCAGCCCAGAGCTCCCTCTCTTGGAGATGTGAGAGTCGGGGCCGCTGTATGAAGTCTGCTCCGACATGTAGATTTTCCGGACTCTTTCACAGTTTCAGCCTAACGATTCCTGTCGTTGCAATCTTGGAACGCGGCTGCGCCGTTGAGGAGAAAAAAATCAGTTGATGAAAAATGATTCAGTCTAATCAGGTAGTCAGCTGACCCGATGTTTTCAGGTGCATAACATTGCTCAACCTGACCGGCTGACACAAACCCAGATCATAACACTGCTCCCACAGGCTTCATCGCTTCGTCCACCTCTCCTCTTACTCAGATATACTGATCGCTCTGGAAAACAGATTAAACATCCAGATTCCTCTGACCATGTCACCTTTTCCCACTTTTTACAATCTCTTTGCTTCCCAGCAAACCAAAGCCTTTTTTCTGATTTGCTTTATTGATAAGCGGTTTTGTTAGGCGAGCACAGCCGTTTGGCACCGATCCATTAAGCTCTCTTCACTTTGTTGAAATGCTCTTATTTCCCTTTCCTTTTAGCGCTCGAGTTCAGAAAATGTTAAAGGGGTGTCCAATCACAGTTATTCAAGATTACTTCCTGATTACATTTCTTCCTCAAAGATGATGTTTCACCACTATCCTTCCGGGTTGTCAGTAATGCCTTTGGCACTTCTTAACCTAATTTTAGAGGTTTCAGCAGTCTTCTTTATTGTGTTCTTTGCTTGATGCAGTAACTTGACCCTTCTGAAACGAAGAAGCATCTTTTCCAGGACCAGAGGAGATGTCTTCCGATTTGGAGAAAGAAGAAGTTACTCACTGTTGCAGACCTGAAGCCTATTACTCACTGCAGTAATTATCTAGTAGAAGGCTCTTACCTATTTGCTTAGTAAATCCACATGGTGACCTTTTTGTTTTTTTGGTGAGGTAGTGTATTAAAAACAAGGGAGAAAATCACAAGATATTCAAAACAGAGAAACATTAAAAAATTATGAAAGACTCTTTAAAACAGAGACAATGAGAAAAGGTGTGAAAAAGAAGCAAAGAGGTATAAAAAAATAAAACACTTGTGAATAATAGAAGCAGAAGGCTAATTAAGGATTAAGGAAATGGGCATCTGCTCTTCATCTACCTAGGCTACTAACTGTGGTTGAACCTAGTATGAAAAGCACGTGCGGGACGTAACTTGGAACCAAAGCGTGCGAGTTGTGCCAGCGCACCAGGACGCCTAATCCTCACCTTAAGTAACAAGCGTTTGAAGCGTCCTGTAGTAGGCATTACTGCATTACTTGTGTGCGTCCTGCAGTCTTGCAGGCTGCAGATGGATAATGTTGGTCCAAGCATGGACAAACAAGGCCTGCCCGAAGCTTACAGGAATTACAGGATCTTTGTTTTGGTGCCAGAAAACTCCAGGGCACATTTAGAAGTCCATGCCTCACTGGATCAGAGCACTTGAAGGACAGACAGCATATCAAGAAGTGATGGCTTTGGGTTTTGGCTTGTCGGTGTAAACAAAATCAGCCTGGATTTTACACGTCACTCTCAACGTTGAGTCGGCAGATAGTCTGATTAAGTTTACTTCTAGAGCTCATTTCAATACAGCAACCAAAGTGCTTGTAAAGTGCTCACAAAACAAACACTGCCTATATAAGACAGTGTATATAATAAATAATTAATGTAAGTCATAGCTTATACGTGGAAGCAGATGCCTCCTGATCTATGTTTGCATTCATTCTGAATTATAATTCAGCTGATGTATCATAAATCACATGTGGTACAAATGCTTCACTTCATCACCGTGCAACTATGGGTTGTACTCAGTTGTAATGCAAGATGCCTACAATTCGAAACACCCACAGATAACGAATGACCCCGTAAAAAGAAAAAGGTGTTAACGCTGAGATCGCGGAATAAACACATTTTTGCCGTTTCATACTGCGCATCTCTTATCCAGGTGATGCTGGCGGAGCTGAAGGGGACAGAAGACGTTTACGCCGTTAAAGTTCTGAAGAAGGACGTCATCCTGCAGGACGACGACGTGGACTGCACCATGACCGAGAAGCGCATCCTGGCCCTCGCCCGTCGACACCCCTACCTCACCCAGCTGTACTGCTGTTTCCAGACACGGGTAGGCTGACGTGTGAAGCAAAACGTACAGATTCAACAGCTGACTGCATTTCTCCTGTCTAATACCACTCCGTCCCTCCCTCTGTCTGCAGGACCGTTTGTTCTTTGTAATGGAATATGTGAATGGAGGAGATCTGATGTTCCAGATTCAACGATCCAGGAAGTTCGATGAGCCTCGCTCTCGGTTCTACGCTGCCGAAGTCACCTCAGCCCTTATGTTTCTGCACCGTAACGGAGTCATCTATAGGTAAACACCCTGCTGTCCTTGTTTGGTTTTTCCATCAAGGTCACTCTTAACTGTCAAAGAGAAAATATATATTTATATTTTGTCTTTTTATTTTGGTATGAAAAGCCATAGAAAACATCAGTGCTTATTATCTGTTTACATTGCATGCACCTCCCCCAGTGAACCAAACTTTCCCAGAAAGAAGATGGTGCTAATAGCGTATCTGTGTCTTTCTGTTACAGGGATCTGAAGCTGGATAACATCCTCTTGGATGCTGAGGGTCACTGTAAGCTGGCAGACTTTGGTATGTGCAAAGAGGGCATCATTAACGGAGTCACTACCACCACCTTCTGTGGCACCCCGGACTACATTGCCCCTGAGGTGAGATTAACTCAAGGGCCTGCACTTCTTTATGTTGATAGGGTATAATGGTCGATATTCTTACCCTTGTATTGTTAAGTAGCTATTAGCTATTAACAACATTATATTTCACCTGGATATTTGAACATCTGTCCTGATAACATTAATCTGAGCTAAGTTAAAATCACAGATTCAGACTTATCAGTATTGTACTGATGTATCAAAGATGGAAGTCCCATGAGCTGAGTGCTTTTCATTTTTGCTGTCTTGCTGTTTTAAAACCTCGTGACGAGTGACGGACAGACTGTAGCCGAGGACCCCACAAACCACTTGTCTGGTCCTAATAATGACTATAATTTACCAAATGGCTTCATTTTTTAACCGTGTGTGAACTGGAATTTGAAGTTGAGCCCATAAGTTCATTAGAAAGTGTTTTCTGAATTCAAAAATAAGGGAGCCGATTTCTATGCAGCCGTAAGCATTTTTTGCAGCCTGCTGCACTGCCCCCTGCTGGCCATTAAAAAAAATACAGGTTTAGGTCACAGCAGAGTTTTGGGCCACATTTTAGACCCAGAAGTTGTGCATATCTTATGCTGTCTATCCAACTTTAGCTCCCTTTTAGTCAGGACTAACAATCATATTAACAACAATCAACATCCGGCTCTGTTGCTCAGTGCGAAAGGGAACAATCTTCATTCATTTCAGGGTCATATGACTTCGCTGTCATCACAAGCATTTATTGGCTCCGCCACCGTGCGTGCTGTGGGGTCATTAACTTCTGGGGGACTCTCAGTCCCCTTGGTTACAAATATAATGTTTAGTCTTTGTTAAGGAATCAATCAAACACTTTTTGGATAAATTGCCTAAAAATGTCACCGGCCGAAGTGCCATGTGTTCATGACGCATCTGAGTGCAATCACTTATCATGGGTATTACACAAGTCTGTGTTTGTGCACATCAGCTGAAGGTGGACACTGAAGTTGAAGAAAACTTGTGTGCAGCAGTTAAAGCATTTCAAGGGACTTTTATTTGCATAATTTTTAAGTAGATATGCTTTTAAGAAGTCAAAAAGCATATGAAAGATAAATTATTATTCAATGCAGAGACTTTTTATCTCTCTTAAACATGTATGGAGATGATCTTTAAGTAGTTCAGTTTCCCTTTCACTCTTGCTGCTGATGACATTAGTTAGGTCTATCCATTGTTTTGGCTTTTCTACACCACTTAAAGTGGAATAAAGTACATCCTATTGAGGCTCTTCACCTCAATGGATCTGTTTGCAGGATGTCACGCAAGCAGAAATGTATTTCCTCGTAATCATCTTGAGCTGTGTCATTTGGTTGAATTCAGATCCTGCAGGAGCTGGAGTACGGAGCCTCTGTGGACTGGTGGGCCCTTGGGGTGCTGATGTATGAGATGATGGCCGGACAGCCTCCGTTCGAAGCCGATAATGAAGACGACTTGTTTGAGTCGATTCTCCACGACGATGTCCTCTACCCCGTGTGGCTCAGCAAAGAGGCTGTTTCTATTCTCCGAGCGGTACGTGTCGTCTCTCCCAATATTATCTGACATTTTTGTAGGACTGGTAAGCTCTTGGGAAGCTCTCATCACCAATTTCTTTTGATTCTACAAGGAAAGCTTAGTTTATTTTAACTGTATTTAGGAGATTTTGATCAAAATCAATTCAAATCAGTTCAGTTTTATTCACATAGTGCCAAATCACAACAGTCTCCTTAATGTGCTTTATACTGTCAGGTAAAGGCCCTACAGTAATACAGAAAAAATCCAACAATCAGATAACCCCACTATGAGCTAGCACTTGGCAACAGTGGAAAGGAAAAACTCTCCATCAGAACCAGGCTCAGGGAGCAGCAGCCACCTCCTATGAGTGGTTGGGAGTGAATGTACTAATAAAGTACTTGTGTATTTTAACATGGACAACCAACATTTATTAAACGTGCTATGAAGAGAAATGTAGAACGGCTATATGAGCACTGTAACGAGTGTAACGATGCAGATAAGTTGAAGTTAAGTTAAACAAAAAACAAACTTCAATGTCTAAAAGGCTCAATTCCAGCCCAGACTTGGCCAGGCTTTAACTCAACAGCATCTCAATTAACAAAAACTGTTCCTGCAAGAGAAGAATTCAGTCTTGTGGTCACCGTTTTAACTTTCATTCAGATTTCTATCCTCAGAGCGTCACACGAGCAAATCAAACTCAAAGTGCACTTGATGCAAAGGTGTCATGCTGCACTTTCCTCGGACACTGAGGAGAATTAAAAAAAGGTTAAATGCAGTCATAAAACTGCAGTGAATCACAAAGTGCTCTTATAATGCCGAACAGACAGCAGAACAAAAGCAACGCGGTAAATAACACCGGCACTCTGCTGACCTGTTTGATCACTCTGCCAGTGACTCTGTGGATGCTAAAAACAAAGAGCCGTTTATGCCTCGGCTCTATTATTAGCACCAAAATGCTTTCCCCCCCTTATCTCCTCAATCCCTAATCCTTTGTCTTTACTTGTGCAAACAAAGATGTGAAGTGTATTTTGTTACGGATTAAACCACAGCTAACAGTTTTCAAGGTCCTGCTATTCTGGAAGAATAAGTCCAAAAATACAAATGTTTTATTTGTGCAGTTCATGACAAAGAACCCGGCCAAGCGTCTGGGCTGCGTCGTGAGCCAGGGTGGCGAGGAGGCCATCAAGACCCACGCCTTCTTCAGAGAGATCGACTGGGTACTGTTGGAGCAGAGAAAAGTCAAACCACCCTTTAAACCCCGGATTGTAAGAGACACACACTCTGCACAAACTCACACAGGCCACAGTTTTACATGCAGCTATTTCACACATAAACCTTCAGTAATGCATCGTGTATTTGATACTAAACATTTTTCAAGGCTCAGTAGTTTTGTGAACTTGTGGATAGGTATCCGAATTATTATTCTTTAGTTTTAAATTTACTTGGAATGCTGAAAGACTATATACATGACATATACTGAGCATATTCTGATTCTGAGGAACTACACCAACAAACTAGCAAAATACTCAAAAAATACTTGTTTCTCAAAATACTAATTTATCATTAAGCTAAAATCTCAACTGTAGCAGAACGAAACATAAGCTGCAATGTTCAGGTAATATTCGCTAACATTACCTGGCAATGGCTAAACTAAAAAGAGCAGCACACAGCCAAAAAAAATGCTTCTTTTTCTTAGTCCACCAGGTGGTGCTGTTGAGTTTTGGGTTTCATTTGGAAGTTGGTAAAACAAAGATGGAGGCCTGAGAGAAGTGCTGTATGTGTTTAAATCAGAGGTGTTGCCTTTTTTTTTTAACAAGAAAGGGACAAAGGAGATGGATTTGTAAGGAGTGTCATGTGAAAGTAAAATATTCTATGAATACTGTAAACATGAGGGCATATTTCATGCACTGCCATCCTCTCTGGTAATTCCTGCCTCTACTGCCGAGTTGGGGGACCTGTTCTTTGTACTTTGTTCTTTGTACCTGTACTTTGAGGTTTATTTTATCACCCCATTTGCAGTTAGTTGTTAAAAAGCTAATGTTAGCAAAGTATTTGAAACATTAGGGTAAGTGGGACCAGTCAAATAAGGTTTTAAAGCCCTGCGGTGGCTGTTATATTTTCACCACCATCTCTGCTGGTGTGAAGTTGCATCGTAGACTTTCATCTGGGATTGTTTTTTAATACTGTACGTCTCTTTTTGTCTCAAATATAAAATTCAACATCAACACCTTTATTACTATGCTGTCAAAAGTCTTCAGGTTAGCTTTCAGGAATTTTAAAGCCTAGAAAGCCTGAAGTTAAAGTAGGCATAAGCACGGAGATTGAAAAAGTATCTCAATTTGTTATGTTGAGTAATTCTCACAGTACCAGTCAAAGGTTTGGACACAGTCACCTATTCAGTTGTTTGCTGGCAGAATCGAAAAAGGGAAGTTCACATACTACGAGGTCAACTGAGAGTCATGACCTGCTTCCCCCTCCAGAATGGGCAGGCTTTAAGCGCACTCTGTCTCTGTCAATCATTCAAAAACAAGTAAATATGTGTTTTTAAAAAGTCTTTCGGTGTACTGAATTACTTTAATTTTAATATGTGTTTATTCATTTTGTTTGTGAAAGAAAGACTGTGCCATTTAGTCTCTAAAAGTAGCTTAAAAGGCTTGAAATCCCAATTTTGCTAATGCTAGATTTAAAAGGTTTGTGGCGTGTTAATTAAAGACCCCCTAAGAGAGCACCTTTCAAGGAACAGTAAGTCACAGTGGTCAGAAGGTGTCGCTGTCATGTAATTTTGAACGTTCTCTGACATCCTTCCTCCCGTCTGTGCCTTTGTGTGTGTGTTTTCGTGTGCATGCGTCTGCAGAAGACCAAACGAGATGTGAATAACTTCGACCAGGATTTCACCAAGGAGGACCCCGTGTTGACGCCCACGGACGAGGCCATTATCCGACAGATCAACCAGGAGGAGTTCAAGGACTTCTCCTACTGCGCCCCCGAGGAGACGCATACCTAACACATACACACACAAATACACACAGATCCAGCCACACTAAACTCGGTATGCACGCACTCACACATGCTGACACTCCATAGATCCATAAAATCCCTTTACAAATCACACACGCACACAAACACACACACACACACGGTCAGTCCTTTACTTTGAAGCTATTGGCTGTTGTTACTTTTGAGATATAATTTACTTGCATTGTGTTGTTGTTGTTGCCTGGGTTCATTATGAATATGAATATGAATTTAAATATGAATATGCACACGCTCTCACAAACAAACGCACGCACACATCGACGCGCTCACGTGCGTACAAACACTACAATCCCAAGTTTTACGTGCCCTCGCGCACTCCTACAAGGTCACTGCACACGCTCAGACAAAACCAAACACACATACACACACCTACACTGCTTCTCTCCCCGGCACCTGTACACATGTGGACTGTGGGTGCTGGGTGCAGAGGCTTGTATATAGCCTGTGTTGAGTGGCTGTATCGTGCTGGTGTTGTCTGCTATTAAAGGAGCGTCGTGGCGCATGGACAAGCACCCTACCTGTGTTATTATTGTCCTTATTGTGGACCAGTTAGGGCCAAATCCCCTTTTGTGCAATACCCTGACTATCTATATATTTTATGGTTTGTTTGTTCATGTGCGCGTGTGTGTGTGTGTGTGTATGTGGGTTTTTTTCTTCCTCAAAATGTGTTTTTTAAATTGTTTTTGTTGGATTATGGTATGACTGAAGTATTCACTCATTCTCTGTCCTTTGTGTACAAAGTGAATGTCGAGCTTACGAGTTACAGGCTATCGAACTAATTATGTCGAGCAGAGTGTTAGAGGCGGCCTGTGTAGCAGTGAAAAGCCCCATTTCCAGCTATTTCATCCGTCTGTTAGGTTCAGAGATTTGGTCTGCCCTTTTTGTGTGAATGTGGGCCTTTTTATTAATATTATTGTTATTATTATTATTATTATTGTGAATGTATATTTTCATGCGTGCGAATGTGTGAATTTCTTTTTTCCCCTTTTCTGTCTGTTTTTTAGCATTTCCATAGCAACCGTCAGTGTTTTCCCTTTCCTTGCACTCTATTTCAAAGCACCAATTCCCCTTTTCCACATCCAGCAGCTCTTTCAGCCAAAACCACACGCTTTATTTTTCTGACTTTTGCTCTTTATGTTTTCAAGAATGGCTTTTACTTTCTTATTGCTCTCTCTCGCTCGCTCTTTCTCTCTTTTTTATTCTAAATCTAATTATTATTATTATTATTGTAAAGTGTATCTGGAGAAATCCTTTGTGCATAATACTATAACTATACTATTATAGGTCTGTTACAGCCGGGTTGATAAGACGTGTTGAGAGCCAGCAGCTGAATTACCTCTCACTTCACACACAAACACACACACACATACACATACACAATAAGCACCAATACAGACTAGCTCCTTTTCCACCTCCCCCTTCTTCTCACTTTCTATTGTGCAGACACACACACACTAAACACAGAAGGACTGTTGCGTACTGTACAGTGATCTGAAGATGAGCTGGTTGCTCTCTGTGCAGTAGAGTTGATGTGTAGTGAAGCTTTGTGCACCCAGGGGTAGGGCTGTTCCTGGTCACACTATCTTACTCTGTGCCAAAATGTAGTGCAACAGCCGGGCTAGTCCTGTCTGGTCTGATTCCAATAAAACACTGAGCTGTCTACATCAATCCCAGACTACATTGTGTCTTTTTCTTATTGTTCTTTTCCCCTTCTTTGCTTTAATCGATTTTAACCTGCTGCTGTTCAGAGGCAAATCTGTGGGATGCTCAAAAGTTTATGTAAGAGAAGAAGAAGAGGGGAGGGAGGGTGGAGTGGAGGGAGGAGGAAAGAAGAGGGGAGGGAGATGCTTCTCGTCAAGGCTGACCTATCATCACTTTTGGAGCCCTCTAGGTAATTTGCATGCCAAGGGGAGATGAGACTGTTTGGAATCCATTCAAGTCATCTGTGCAGCACCGTGGGTCTAATTGCCTGTCTGATGAACTAGTCTACCTGTGATGGTGCAAATTGCAGTGCAGAGATTCGCTGTTGTGCCGTGAACTCCTGCTGCCATCGCGCCTGCTTTCCCGAGCCGTCATTCACCATGCGAGACATCTGCGAGGCACGATGACAGCTGACAAGGAGAAGAGAAGGTAAAGCAGCGTGTTGCTTTGTTCATAGGGGCATTCATTTGGCAGCAATAAATCTTAATAGATCAAGTTTAAGTGAGTTGCCATCTAACTGAGGTAAAGAAGTGAGGTCAAAGAGAGTGCTGTGGCCACTCTGGATGCCTCAGATCTTAACCACGGTGCACTGTTGACCTTCCACATCTCTTCATCAGTGGTGGGGGAACTATTAAAAAACAAAGACACTAAAAACTGCAAAAGATAGAATTCAAATACTTCAAGGTAAAGCTCTGGAATCAAGTCTTTCAGTAGAAATGAGGCAATGTTAGCAGTAAAAACACTGAAGGTGAAGTAGGAATAAGCATGGAGATTGAAGAAGTGTCACATATTGAGAAATTCTCTAAACTCACACAGATTATGTCAAAAGTTCACAGTGTGATGAAGCTGAAACATGACTGTTTTTACAGTTCCTGTAAAGCTGAGGAACAATGTCACTTTATTTATTTATTTATTTTTCCTTACATCAGTTTGAACACAGACTCCAAGTCTGCAGAGTCACAGCCTTAGCAGGCAAAATGCAGAAAATGAACAATATTATCTTCCGATATCAAAGAGGGTACATTTTAAATAGTCTTTGAGAAAATGCACTTCATCCAGTATCATCTCACTTTTACTTTAGTGACTAAATGAGTGAGTTTTCTCTAGTTTATATGTATCTATGTTGTGTGCAGCATAGAGCATACTTGCAGTAAAATGGTGTTTATAAACGTATCTAACTTAATTTTAGGTAGTAAAATCTGATGTAAGTTTGATTGAGAGAAATTTAGTTCAGCCTTCTTTGCATTTCCTGACTTCTGCTTTCTGAAGAGCGATCAGCCGTGAGGCTGCTCGAAGGAGACGGCGAGTGGAGTCTGACGTGTTTGGGGATTTGTCTCGCCTCCTGCCGCTGCAGCCCTCCGTCAGAGCTCACCTGGACAAGCCCTCCGTCATTCGCCTGACCCTCAGCTACATACGCATGCACACTCTGCTCAAAGGTAACAGCGCACATGTGAAGACATTTAACACCGTCTCTGGCCTCTGTGTGTGAGATACACTCAGAGCAAACTGAATCACAAGGAGAAAAACACCACTTGAAGTCAGTAAATATACGCATTTACATATTTATGGCACCATTTATGTTCTGGGCACTGATATTAGTTTGCAGGTTTTAGAGAAAATATAGTGAAATATAGAGAAAACCTTCAAATGATGCAAATGCTTTGTTTCTTTGATGAGATTTCCTTTATTTCTCCTGAAATCTGGGAAATTCATACAAACCCCCCCCCCCCCAAATAGCTCACAAAGTGTAGAGAACAAGCACAAAAATAGCTAAAATTGAAGTGTTAACAGTGCTGTTCAAAAATAATGTGTTTCATAATACAAACAGATGTCCAATAAGGTGATATCCATAAATAAATACATGCAATTGGGCTGTTTAAACTATTTAATTCTTGCTGAGGTGTGTCTGGCCTATTTATTTATCAATCCATTATCCTGCCAAGAATCCCAGGAGTCTTTGTGTTTGCTCTGCGCCTGTCTCACAACAGTCAATCCACCCGCTTTAAATTCAGCTTGTGTTTGGGTTAAATTTGACCTGTTTTGACATTTGATAGCAGCAGAAATGCTTTAAATGTTTCTAAAGTCACCTGAAACACACAGAAAATGACTAACATGACTAACAGGTGCTAAAAATATTTTACAAATGGATTTTACATCAATTTCAGGGAATCCTGCAACTGTGCATGCCGTGTCTATGTGTATTTCATATGGGACGGTAGTGACAGTTCAAGGTGGACCTCAACACAATTGTATATGGTGTTTCTCTACTCAGTTTTAGCATTTAAAGTGTTTTCTTCCTCCAAGCCTCATTCACACATTCATACACAAGCCTTTTATCGAAACCCAGTTGCCGTTAACCACACATTCACACACTCATATTCATACTCTGATGGAAGTATTAGGGGGAGCTCATAGCTCTACCACCTGACCCAAAGAAATCTGCTAACAGAGTAAGAGTAAAACAGCATAAGAGTGATCATATATGGAGCACATAAGGAAGAGCGGCCGTACAGGGGTCACAGGATCTGTTGACACAAACACAAGATCTGAAATTTTTCGGCATGGCGGTGGAGTGGTTAGTACAGTTGCCTCACAGTTCCTGGTTTAAATTTTCTGTGTGGAGTGTACGTGTGCTCTCTGGGCCTTCAGGGGTTTCCTTCAGTTTCCTTTTGGCCCGTCTCCTCGTCTCCTTCCACGGTTCAAAGAAATCCATGTTAGGTTAACTGGTGATTTGAAACTGGTTGTGGATGTGAGGCAGAATAAAGTGCTTGAAGTAGATGGAATAAAGCGGTGTATTAATGTGTGGTTAAAGTGTGAGTTGTAGCTTAAAGTGCTTTGTGTGGTCAGAAGAACTAAAAAAGCACAACACAAATGCAAGGACATCACGTGAGCACCCACAACGGAGCAAAATAATCTAAAAATAAACAAGTTAGAATTAAAGTCTGAAATCAGTCTGATTCGAGTTAAAACTAACTGAGATTATGAAGCTAACCAAGCTGCCAGTTCAGTGAGTGTGGAAAACACATGCAAGATTTCCTACTGATGCTTTTAATGTGCAGACTAATCCTTTTTTTAAGCATTTTGTGTGTTTCAACTGACAATTAATCTCTAATTAACACTGATAATTATAAATGGCAGTTTTAATGATATAAGAGTGAGGAAATAGTTAACAGCTGTAATGGTTATATAATAAAGCTTAACAGTTCACGTTCAGTAAAATACATTTAAATCATTATGGCTGTCTTAGGACATGAGGTTGGGTGATCACAGTGTTTTTTCTCTTTTTCTCTTACATCTAATAAATAGATTAATCATCTATTTATTACCATCACAGAGACTATTTGTACAGAGTTGTAGTTCTGAGTCAAATCTTGGCTCCACACTTGGACATGAAATATGAGCAGTATGAAAGGGTTATGTAAGGCCATGTGCAAATTCATGTTTTTATCCCTTCATCCCAGAATATTGGGTTAATTCAACTTGATTTAATATTTTAATATTATTATTATTGTGTGGTTTTCAGTGCCCCACTTCCAGTGGCTCAGTGTCCACAAACCACTACCATAACTTAACCCCAACACCAAGTCTTAGCACGCCAGATATTTAAATATGTGTGAAAAACCAAAATGATTTAGTCACTCTGAAAATCTAAAACTCAAGCTGGTTCTCACAGAGCAGAGAAACACACCCGTCTTTGTTTTTGCTTTTGTTTTTGTTTTTGTCAAATTCTTTTTTCTTTTGTTTCCTGTGTGAGTTAATTTCACTCAGTCGTGCCGTTTAGATCATCAGTTCTCAAGAAAGCTAAAAACCA